ACTTATGGCCACCTTCAATTGCAAAATAACGATCAAGATCATGAAAGAACTAATAAAAGAAGAAATACCAAAAGGTCACTTTTTTGAAAATTATGGAAACAAAAATTCTACAGGGTGGGCCAAAATTATGATAACTAGGAAAATGTTTCATTAAAACGAAAATTAGTCTAATGAGACAACCAACTTCAAAAAAGCATAAGCAGGGCTAGGTTGTGTTCGAAATTTGTTACCCACTGCATCGATACAGGCCTTCAGATAACAAGAGAAAGCGTGAATTGTGGCACGCAGGTGAGACGCGTAAGAATAATTCCAAGATTTTGTTATGCCCTCTAAAGGAAGTCGAACGTTTTCTAAGATTCTGAATTGTTCGTGCTTTCAGGTTTACCACGCAGAAAATCCGCTGGATTTGGTGAGCATTCCTAGGTGAGAGTTGGTCAAAGACGTCGAAAAACCCTTCTTTGCAGAATTTTTACTTTATGACTAGAAGCCTCGTCCTGCAAGAAAGTTCAAAGTGATGTATTCAAGCGGCATCTTATCCATTAAAGATATCGCACCCTAAGACTGTCCAGGTGGATTTTACGTCAGTTATCCACTTTGGCCAGCTATGTTTCCGAGACTGTTTTAACCACAGCCACATTTTAGGGAATGGGAGCGGTCAGGTAGGCGCCGCCTACCACACGCGCGGTTCGGGAAACTCCCTGGCTCATCCGCCATCCACGCCTATTTCGTACAGCGTACAGCCTTTCAAAGCCGGTCGACCGCACGAGACTTGTGTGGGAGGATAAAACACTGACACGAAAATCGGCGAGCTTCCACATGTTATTGTATTGGGTAAATCTCACACACTGTGATGCTGAATGGAAGTGGAATGCGTGGCGCATATCAAAAAGGGACTGCCGATTCGAATGCTTCCGCATGCTTTTGACTTTTGCGAAGCTTCAATTTTCTAAGATTGTGCAGTCATTCAATGCAGCGTAGGAAATGTCATCCAACGATGTGCGAAATCCCGAGGTGAAATTTGAAATTTTTTTGCGCAGATTCAAAATTTTCAGCTAAAACGCATGAAACAGGAAAACGTTGCAGTATTTATAGTGGCATTAAGTGCACACCTTCCACAACGAGCGCATCATCCGAGATATGCTTAAAGTTCTCTTTTAGG